TCTCCTCCCTGAGACCCCTCTGCAAGGGTATCTCCAGTGGCCTACCAATGGGCTTTGGGTCTCCACTCCGCACTCCCCCCATTTACTGTACTTCCTCCAAGACAGATCTGTTCCTTCTTCTGGCAGTGCACTGAATATTCAACAGTCTCCACCCACATGTTATCCAAACACTGCTTCTCCTCTGCTCCTGCCTGTTCTTTGCTTGCTTTCCCCTGCAGGTAAAGGCACTGAAAACACCTTGGTTTGGGTCAGGGGCACCTTGGTCTTCAATGTGACATCTTTGCTTCCTAACACTTTAAAGAGTCTTTGCAGATTTTCCAAACGTAATACGTTGTTTTGTTTCTCGATTGCTGCTTTCATGGGTGTTGACTGTTGATACACAAAGAATGAGGTCTTTGATTTCCTATTTCCTTCGTTAGTTTTGATGTGGCTCATTGGTCCAGATGTGATGCTTTTGTTTTCTTTATGCTGAGGCATGATCGATACTGACGGCTGCAGTCTTGGATCTCCATAAATAAGGGATTCGAGCCTCTTCCCTGTCAGCATGCGAGGTCCTGTCACGCGCACATCACAGGTTGTTCATGAGTCTATTCAAGCCTGACACTCCAGTCTTCTTTAGATATTCCACTTTCTCTCATCATCTGCTCAAGATAAATATATGGAAGGATATAACCCTGATATATACCTTTCCAGATTAAAAACCATGTAATATTCTCTTGTTTTATTTGAATAACTGCCTTTGGGCTCATTCATTCCACCCGAATACCATGAAGCGTTTTGGAATTCCTGTTCTTTAAGGGGTTCTCCATACTTTTAAGATCCACCCACTTGAATGTCTTTAGTCACTATGGCACAGGTAAACATCTTTCTGGCGTTCTCTGCTTCCAGCCCAAGTTCTGTCTGATATCAGCAGTGCGACCTCTTCTTCCACAGCCTCTCCGAATCTGCCTTTAATTCTGGTCGTTCCTTGTTGATGTATTACTGAAGTTTTAAAAATAAATTACCTTCAGCAAAATTTTACTGGTGTGCAATATTAATGAGAATGTTTCATGTTTTTTTTAATGGGCCTGGATACAGATCTCTACTAGTTGTAAATTAATTCTGTAAGTTAGTTCTAAATTTCTTGGCACAGATGAGTGATCACCTCGAGCATTGCGTCTTATGGTCTTCTCTTCCCGAACTGCGAAACTGACAAAGAATTGTGTCACATTCATTTCCAGAAAGAACAGTTCAAAATCTATCCTGAAGTACAGTGCTTTCAGTAATAGGATAACAACCATATGCATTCAAGGAAGACCAATTAATATGATTATCATTAAAATTTATTCAACCACCATTGATGCCGAAGATGAAGAAATTGAAGGGTTCTTTGTCAACTTCTGTAGTCTGAAATTGGTCAAACATGCAATTAAAATACATTGAGAATTACTGATACTTGGAATGGGGAAATACAAATAAGAAACATCAGTACTTGTAGTAGACGGCCTTGGTGATCACATTACAGATGTTTGTAAGACCAACTGTGCAAATACCTTTTCTTTTAAAAACAGCACACTTCATTGTAAATTGCGTGAAAGTTTACAGAAAAAAAGGGCTTTCTACTTTAACAATTCATAAATATTTTGTCTTGTGTCATTGAGTATAATCCTCAAAATATAACAGCATTCTCCCTACTTGCTTCCTGTTTCTCTTCTCTGTTTGTCTTTCTATCCTATTCCTTCCTGTCTTCTGAGCTTCACCCCTGGAAAAATGAGACCCCATTTCCCCCTCAACAGTGTTATTGGCATATAATTCACATATCACACAATTCAATGGTTCAAACACATCACGAGGAGTTGTACAATGAAAATTATGTCCTTCTAGTCTTATATGGTTGGTTGGGATTTTTTGGGTGGGTTTTTTTTTTTTTGGTTGGTTGTTTTAAGGAGTGTACAGAAATCTGAATAGAAAATTTCAAAGGGTAGCTCCAGAAATCAAAGTCAAATATTATAATGAAGTGAAGAAAAACCTGAATTTAGAAAAACAAAATGGAAGAACATGCTCATTATATTTGAAACTGAAAGAACTCAAGAAAAAATTCAAGCCCTGAGTGACAATCTTGAAAGATTCTATAGACAAAATATTGAATTATGCAAGGAGTCTCAAGAGAAGAGAAACAGAATGCAAGGTCTTTTAATATCCTTTAAACTTTTTCAAGTGAACTTCAGAGTCTCATGTATGTACCAAGAGGCCGCTTATGACTCGAGAGTCAAGGTTTGCCAACCCTTGCTGTGTAAGCTAGGGTGGGACATTGCCCAGTTAGATAAGCATTAGAACCACTTTCTGGACATGTTAGTACCTTTTCTTTCCTCTCCTCTGGCACAACTGTTTTGCTTTGTTGGATCACATGTGCTATATATAAAACTGCCACATGTTAGTTACATAGCCCATCCACTTAATCTCCAGGACAAGTAGAGTGGAGGCAAAGGTCACCCTTACAGCACTTCTCTGTGGGTTGGAAAGCAGGACTCGAGAGCAATTGCTCTCTCGCCCAACAATACACAGTTCGAATCTCGCTGGGCCTCAGTTAGCCAAACAGCATAATGAAAAGCTGATGTGTGTCCCTAAGTTTCTGCTCAGGAGCCCTGGTGGGGTAGTGCTTGGCTATTGACCCAAAGGTCTGGGGTTCGAACATCCATGGATGCAAAGACTTAGTGATCTATTCCCTTAATGATTACAGGCTAGATAGAATAGGGTGTACCACCCTGTCCTGTGGGGCTGCTGTGAGCAGGAATCGGCTTGATGGCATACAAAGACGAGGTTTGATGGAACCTTAAAAATGGTTCTTGGTCTATAGAGTGTATATGTCATTATTCTGTTGTTAGTACTTTATTTTGGCACCATTTCTAGTTCACAGAAGTAGTACCAGAGGCTATGGGTTCTGTTAGTGAGCTTCGTTTGTGTGTGTGTGTGTGTGTCCCTGAGAATTGAAACTAGTTCCTAGGTAACTACTTAGGAGTGAGTGTGCTCTGGGCATGGGACTCGACACAGAGGATTAAACGTAAAAAAAAAAGTAAGCCCTTTTCTTGCTCTCTGGTTTAGAGGATAAGTGGAGTTTTTTCAGCCTCCTTCCTCCCCCAAATGTCAGTTTACCTGTCCCCGCATCAGCCCAGCAGGCCGCGTTCGCAGCACATCCCGCGTGGTCTTGGGGCGGACACAGTGTTTTCCTTTCCAAGAGCACGCTCTCCAGGTGTTGTATAAACCGTGTGCGGGGAAACTGAGCCCTCGCCTTCTACATGCTTGCCTTGGTTGGTGTTGACTTCCTGGGCTCTTTAGCTGCCGGCCTCAGCCGAATGAGCAATGTCACCGGTGCCCCCAGCCCTCCGGCCACTCCCCAGCGGGGTCGTCTCTGGAGCAAAGGAGCTCCGTGAGTTTGGGCTCGCGTCCATCATAGCAGAACTCGGCCTTGCTATCAAGGCTCTACCGTAGGACATGCCTTTAAGAAGCTGCCTCAATCCGAATGACAGCGCCCAGAAGCTTGTTTTAGTGACAGTGATGTCACTCCCGGTCTAGGGCGATTTTCTTCCTTTATTCCACATCCTCACCAAGTGCCTTCTCTGTGCGCTGCCAGGTTCGGACGGTTATGGAGTGGGCACGGCGGAGAAGCCATTGCGTTACTTCCCACGGCAGCTGTAGCAAGTGACCACCCACGTAGAGGCTTCACACAACACACCCTTGATTATTTTTCAGTTCCGAAGGTTAGACGTCCTACGGTGAAATGTCCATACGCTTGTATTTCTCTTCCAGGGGAACATCCAGTTTTTACCATTTCCAATTTCTTGAGGTCACCTGCATCCCTCTGGTTTCTGTTGTCTCGTCTCTTTCTGTCTCTGACCCACCTGCCTTCGGAGGACCTCAGGGCTCTTAGGGTGACAGAGGAACCCCACCAGGTTAATCCAGGTTCAGGGCCCCGTCTCAAGATACTTAGTTGAATTCAAATACTAAGACTCTCTTGTCACGTGAGGTCATACCCAGAGGAGCGGGAGATTAGAATGTGACCATCGGTGGGTGTCCGGTATGCTGCCCACCGCAACCCCTATCTTCTGGTCTCAATTGTAGTGAAGTTGTCTTGCTGTTGGTGTTAGTTGCCATTGACTCAGTTCCGACTCATGGTGACCTGGTGTACAACTGAAGGAAATACTGCCTGCTTCTGCACCGTCTCCCCAGTTGCTGGTATATCCACCACCAGGCTTTTCTTCCTAGTCTGTCTTTGTCTGGAAGCTGTGCTGAAACCTGTCCACACGGGGTAGCCACACTGGTCTTTGAGCTATTGGTGGCATAGCTGCAGCATCACGTCAACACACAAGCCATCACAGTATGACAAACGGGATAGGTATGGGCAGTCGTGTTAAGAGGGAATGGTGGGCAGTCACGTTAGTAAGAGGGACTCGAGGTCTTTGCAGATGTGTTTTTCCTGATAGGCAAGCCAGAGCTCACATCTAATGATCTCTAGGGCAATTTAAACTACGCGAGGTCAGGTCTTAAGACGAGACGATTCTATCAAGGACATCAGTATTCACTAAGAAAGGCTAGGCAGGTTAACTAACACTGTAAGTGGCAGACATCTTTAGAAATATCACCCCCAGTAAACATTAAAAATACTTTTTAAAAATGCCAACCTAGAAAAATCATTAAATTGGGCAGAAACACACATCTAGGAGACTCAATGTCTGACCAGGAAAGGCTCAGTCAGTAATCTGCTCATTATCCCGAGGTAACCCAGTTGAAGGGTTCCGAGTAGAAAATCATCCACCCAGGGGTGTAGCTTGCCTTTTAAAATTTTTTCCCATGGCTTTTTATTTAGGTCATAAACCTAGAATTTCCTGGAGAATTCTTCACCACTAATCATTGTGGTGAAAACATTTTTTAAAATAAAATAACCATCGAAATCCCTGAAGCTTGAATGGTTCTATAAAACTGATCCAAAAAAAAAAAAAAGTAAGAAACTGATACATTACTAGAAAAACAAAATCTGTGACCGTTTGGCTTTATATGGACATCCAATAAATTGCTTAGCATTTTACATTTTTGGTTTTTTATATCCTATACTGTTTGTTCTCAGAGCCCCGGTGGGTTACACACTGGGCTGCTGACTACAGGGTCAGCAGTTCGAAACCACCAGCCGCTCTGAGAAAGATGAGCCTCTGGCTCCCGAAAAAACTCGAGAAACTCACCGAGCCGTTCGGGTCTCTTCCTGGGCCGCTGGGTCTGAGTCGGCTTGATGGCAGTGAGTTGAGACACAGTCACTGTGCTGTGAGACGTTTGGAGACTTAAGAATCTGGGTACGGATGAAAGTGGGAAAGTAATTGACCACCTCAGCAGAAGTGTTTATTATTTTCTGTGTTTTATCGTAGGCTCTAGGGATGTTTTGATGAAATGTCTTCCATTTAACTTCTCCTGACCCTCACGTGACGTTCTGCCCGCTCCGTTCCACTTTCTAGCGAGAAAGCAGTCCAATCAGAAGAAGTTGACGAGAACGGGGAGCCTTTGCTCTTTCTCTCGGGACCTCACATGAAGATCCGGAGCTTCGGGCAGCTGTCACGCCTGCTGCGTATTGCCAAAGACACAAGGCTGAAGGAAACAAGAGCGTGTCTTGAAGGTGAAGTTTATACTCCAGTTTGTGATTGGAGCTTGGAGAAAAAATCTTGGGGAGTTGTGTGTTACAGGGTCTTGCAAAAAAATATATTTTTTGCATAATCTAGATGCTAAACTCTCATGTGTACTGTTTAAGAAAATATTATGACTTTTCCCTAGCGAATGTGTTATAGTCACAGATGCACAGCTGTTCGTTAGATTGAGCTGCATAGAGAGACTTCATACACAGACTGCTGTATCTCCAACTGAGCCAAATAGCTGCTCTTCCTTGTGGCTTGCCCTTTCTGATAGGGTTCTGGGTGGGCCCCCTCGTCAGTCCACATTCCATGTCATAGAACCTGGTGAAATAAACCGGGTAATCAGGTTTATTCCTCTTTTTGGAATTCTCCTGCTGTCTCTTTTCATGAATCTCTACGACCTGAGAGCCATCAGGCTAATATGCTGAGATCGATGCTCAGTGAGTGGCTTCCCTTTGCCCCATCCTTCTCCACATGCAGTGTCCCACTCCATCCCAAGCCTTTCCTGCTGTTTCCTGGTGGCCTACCTCATTTTCACTGGAGTGTTAATGTCATCACAACTCCCACTTCCTTTACATGGAGGTCGGCTTTCTCAATGGTGCCCCAGGCATTTCCCCGCTTCCTGGCCCCTTGCCAACCTAGGTCTTCAAGGTCCTTGGATTGCTCCTTTCTAAGCCGAATTCTCCCTAGGCTCTCTCCCTTTTGAGGCCGACTGTGTGTTGACCTTTACCCACTTCTGTTGGCAGCACCTGTACAGTCAACTTTCACACGTAGATCAGCTTTGATTCCAAGTTGCTATTTGAACTTCTCACCATAAGTTTGGCGTGGATGTAACTATTAGTTGGACTTGTTTTTCTAACCAACTTCAAAAGGCACTGTAATCGAAGCAGTTTGAACAGGTGGAGAAGACTGCCGCTGGACGTGTGGGAAAGCTTACTGCTTTAGGAAGAACGCCTCGATGAAAGCTAAGCACGTGCACACACGAGGGCTTCAAGGATCTCATCGCAAAACCGACTGAAAAGATAACGAATTTTTCCCTTGAACTTAAAAAAAAAATGTAGGTCTTAGGACATAGATAGATGATACAAGACATCTAACGAGCTGTCCTAATAGTGTTAGTGAGTTCAGAATTTCAGAAGTGGAGATCCATTCTATTTGGGTTGAAGGAAACACATTTGAGGAGGTTTTGAAGGATTTGGCCGTCTTTGCTTATTTTAAAGGAAAGCATGAGAATCATTTCTATCAAATTTATTGGTTTTTCCAGCTAACAGAGACCCCGTAGTAAAAATTCTGGGCTTGGATTATAATACAACCAAAGGAGAAGATTCTTCTGCATTAAGTATTCTTGGTAAAAGGAGCAAAGATAATGATTCTGAACCCGAGTGCCCGATGACCATCGCTAGGCTGCTCCGGCAGTTAGATGTGCACCTACTCAGTCATTCTCTACGACACGTTTCGTTGTGAGTCTTTCTAAAGTCTTTTGACACAGAATCTGAAATTAGTTAAGAAAATGATTTTCTGCATTTTGGAGAAAACACAGGAAAATCTAAATATTGAGTCTTTTGCTATTGATGTAACATTATAGTTTTACTGGAATAAAAATTTTATATTATTGGGTGAGTGTTGTTTTAAAAAACAAAATGTACTGCTAACGTTGCCAAAACATTCTAGTGGGGTTTTATTGAATTCTGAAGGTACTGAATAGTCTTATTTATTATTTTCAAAGACTCTTAAGAATGTTATATGAATTATTAAATTATCATGTAAATACAGAGTTTATATAGGCCAGAATATGTTTTTGTTTTTCTAGGAGGATTAGAATACTTATAATTAAGCAATGAAGTGAATATTAAACAGAGTTTATTGACTTACATTAAATGAAAATCACAAGATCCTTGAGGTGTTAAGGATGCTGATATATGATTATACGATAGCAAAAATGAACATGAATTTTAATATGCAAAACATTATGTTCTTGTAGTTTCTGTAGATTCTGTTTGAAAGCATTTAAATGTATCTTTTAAACATTTATTTCAGAGAAACGCCCTTAAATCCATCAGCCATTAAGAGTGATATAGAGCTACTCAGACGTCACGCAGGGAACGGAGAACACACAGTCTTGGAAAGTATTGACTATACCTCAGGTTGATATCTTTTCAGTTCATTTTATGTTATACATCCTTTGTTAGAGGAACGCTGATGGTGCTGTGGATTAGGTGTAGGATGATACCTGCAAGATCATGGTTCAAACTCACCTGTAGCTTTGGGGGGAGGGGCGGGGCGGGAGATGTCAAGATTTAGTCACAGAAACCCCATGCAATTGGACTCCACCAGATGGGGTGGGCTTGGTCTTTCTTGGTAGTTGCTGTGGAGTTGACTTTGACCATGACAGCCCCATGACAGCAGGTAGGGGTTCCACGCTGTGAGGTCCTTCTGAGTGGTTTTGAACCACCCACATTTTGTCTCCTAGTTGGAGCCACTAGGAACTGTGTGTGCCACTCAGGAACTCCCAACTTATCTATATGTTTTCATAAGGATATTTCGGAACGCTTCCATGTCCACATCACCACTGAATCTTTAAGACAACGCAAACTAGTTTCAGTGTTTTCTTTAAAGACCAACCTATTGTACAAAGCTCTAGGCTAAGGAACTCCTCCTGACTCACTGATCATTGATTTCAGATTATGAATTTTCCAATGGGTGTCGAGCCCCACCTTGGAGACAGGTTTACGGGGAGATTTGTTATGTGCTGGTGAAACCACATGATGTTGCAACTCTGTGCATCACTTGCAGCGCAGAAGGAGTATTTTTAAATGGCGTAAGTGTTTGTTTGTTGGTTTCCCCACGAAAACCCATTGAGTTTGGACCCGACGAGCTGCCACAATCGCGCTGGCATCTCAGGAACTCAGAGGAAGATCCTTGCGTTGCTGGGCCAGACCCTTGAGAACAGAGGACTGGTGAGCTCGTCAGGGGATTTCTGAGGGGATGTGCTGGGCCTGATTTGGGATCCCAGGACTTGGGGGAGGGGACCGCTCTGAAAATTAGAGTCAACGGTTGCTACTGGAAGCAACTGCCACTGCCAGGGTGAAGGGCCGTTGCTAGGGTGACTCTAACAGGGATTGTGGGTAAACAGGAAGGAGCATGTCCTTTCGTCTTTCAGCCTTCAGCCCTCTTTTAGCTTCCTATTGATGGAACCTAGCCTACCCTGGCAGAGGAGGCGATGTGCAGGGAGATCCTCCCAGCTCTGACTAGCACACAGCCGAGGCTGGATGGGTGGGTTTTGAGCCAAGAGAGAAACAGCAACTAACCTTCAGAAGTCTCTGGATTCAAACACCTTGCGATTAGTCTTATACCGATTCACAAAACCTTCTTAGGAAGAGCCACCCACTGCTTTCTCTTCTGTAGCATCCTGCCCGCAGTGGGTCTTCGCTGTAAGTTTGAGACTCCCAAGCCTGCTTTACAGGGAGGATCAATCTTCAAAGAGACCTGGCCTGAGGGCTGTGACACCTTGGCTAGGGTTGGCACCAAACGCGGTTGCCACTTTTCTCATTCTTCACAGGCATCAGTTTTCTGTCATGCCTTTTTGGTGCATGAATCGTTACACATAGCTTGTCTCTAAGCTATCCTAAATGTGATCTTTGAGGGGAGAGGGGCGGTTTGCTTGAATTGTTTTAAAAAGTGAACTTTTAAATTGGGAAATAGCACAAGAGAAAGAATGATTTTCGCTGTAGGGCCAAGTGTCGTTGCTTTTATCAAACTAATATGTGCCCATAGGAGTGTGCATATACACACATATATGCAAATATCCATATGGGATGTTATTTACATATTTGATACAGGAACTTCTAAGTGTTCCACTTTGTTTCAGAAATGAAAGACAACATAGAACTGTTCAGGAATCACAGTACTATTTACAACACCGTACATGCGATAGCATGCGTGAAGGGTATCATGAGGATGGGGGATAGGGAAAGGACACAGGAGGAAGACAGCAGGAAGAAGGGCAGAAGCAGAGGGATGGTGCAGGGGAGGTGGTTACTGGAGATCAAAGCTCTAGACCGAGGGCTGGCAAACTCCGCCTCTCCAGCCATCTTCAGCTCTTGGGGATGTGCCCATACGCGGCTCTGAAGGAGAACTGAAAAATGCTAAAGGCTGTCATCCTGATGGTGGTGATTTCATTTTCGTGAGAGTATATTATGGTTCTCGAATAATTTTGAAAGTGTTGTGAGGGACAGGACTGGTTTTTCCGTCCGTCTCAAAAGTTTGCCAACCCCAACCCTAGACCCTAATCTTTGTCAACTGCGCTACGTCGTGCTGAACAAGACCAGAGCGTAACAAATGGATCGGGAGGCCTTTCTAGGGGACTCTAACCTCTAACCTAGACGAGCCCATCTTTCAGCTGTAAGATGGAGGCGTTTGACGTCACGATATTTTTATCACAGAACTGTGTGAAGAATGCAAGCTCTTACTTATATTCTGCCAAGCAGAGCGCCATACCTGCATAGGGCAGGTAGGCGGTAAACACCAAATGATGGATGACAAAGAGACTTTAGCTGGAGAAATGCTCGGAGGCAGGGCCAGAAAGCGTCTGAGGTAGAGCATTAACTTAGGGGCGGTGGGGTGTGTGGTTCGCCCATAACGTTTCCTGTGTACAGACCACCGCAGGTACCCTTTAGAAAACAATTTGTGTGCTTAGGACATACTATACTGACGAGGCGATTCCATTGCTGCTCTCATTAATAACTTGAAACATTTTTCCCCAAAAGGGCAAGACAGATGATGAGAGGGAAATTAATTATGAGCGAAAAAGTAAAATTTATAAAGACCTTGTTACATTATTAAGAGAAAAATCTCCAAAGTTTTCCGAAAATATGGCTACACAGGTAAGTGTTATAACTTCTTTTGAATTTTCATAAAATTGTGTTATTTGACTACCTCTGTCTAGCTCTGAAAACCGAGAGCAATTTGGCATAAATTTGAACCTGGCTTGGAAATATTGTAAGAGTATTCCCACCCCACAATATAAAATAAGAAATATTGTACACTTTAAGAATATTTCTGATTTTCCTTAGGTGATAAATATTATTTTCAGTTGTTTCGTTGGTAGGATTTTTTAACCTCTCTCTTTCAAAAAATAATACTTGGAACAAAGGGCTCAGCTTGCTAATACAGCTAGGATGTTTTGATTATTTGTTTTCTCTTCTGGAAAAAAAAACTACTTCCTACTTGGAATGATGGGAGAAAGATGAGGCTTTCTACTCCTGTAAAGAGTTACACAAGAACACCTTGTTCTATTAACCTGGCATTCCATGATGCTCACCTTCCCGACACGCTCGCTGAAGACAAATGGGTGCCTAAGCAAATGTGGTGAAGAAAGCTGATGGTGCCCGGCTATCAAAAGATACAGCGTCTGGGGTCTTAAATGCTTGAAGATAAACAAGCAGCCATGTAGCTGAGAAGCAACAAAGCCCACATGGAAGACGCACACCAGCCTGTGTGATCATGAGGTGTTGATAGGATCGGGTATCAGGCATCAAAGACCCAGAACAAAAAATCATCCTATTGTGAACGAGGAGACCCAAAGCCCATCTGTAGGCAACTGAACATCCCCTTACAAAAGGGCCATGGGAAGAAGAGCAGCCAGTCAGGGTGCAGTGTAGCACAGATGAAACATACAACTTTCCTCTAGTTCTTTTTTTTATTATTTTATTAGGAGCTCATACAACTCATCACAATCCATACACCCATCCATTGTGTCAAGCACATTTGTACATTTGTTGCCATCATCATTCTCAGAACATTTGCTTTCTACTTGAGCCCTTGGTATCAGCTCCTCACTTTTCCTCCTCCCTCCCCATTCCCCTCTCCCTCTGAACCCTTGATCATTTATAAATTATTATTATTTTTTCATGTCCTCCCTTACACTATCACTATGTCAGAGAAGTTGTCAAGGTCATTCTTTCTGGCCCTGCCTCCGAGCATTTCTCCAGCTAAAGTCTCTTTGTCACACTCATAGAATCATGTCAGCTGTAAATAGAGTTTTGCTTCTTCTTTGTTAATTTGGATGCCTTTATTTCCCTCTCTTGCCTTAGAGTGCTGGCTAAGACTTCCAACACAATATTGAAAACCAAACCAAACCAAACCAAAACACCTCCAAACTTACTACCATGGAGTTGATTCTGAATTCTAGTCCTGTAGGACAAAGTGGAACTGCTCTTGTGGGTCTTAAAGATCACAACTCTTTACAGGAGTAGAAAGCCTCATCTTTTCCCCAAGGACCAACTGGTGGTTTTGAACTGCTGACCTCATAGTTAGCAGCCCAATATGTAATCATTATGCCACCTTGTCCAGGCCCTTCCTCTTTTCACTGCCTCTCCCTGTTGGATAGTAATAGGTCATCCAAATGTGTAGCTTGTATCAGACAACTCAGAAGTGATAATATCATTGTGAAACTATTCTTATGTATTGATTTTACAAAGGAGAATAAAAGCAATGAAGAGCAACAGAAAGACAAGTTTCAGCCTGACGGGGCACCGAACAAGGAACAAGGAGCGGCGAGAGCTGCCCCAGAAAAGAGCACGCTGGAGAAGAGCCAAATCAACTTTTCGAGGAGCGCAGCCAAGAGATTACAGCCAAGCTTAAACTGGAGGAAGGCTCCCGACTCCAAAGAGTACGTAGCATTTGTATGCTGGGTTTTCTGAGACATTAAGGAAATATACTCGTCTAACTTTCCACTTACCTTTCTCAGTAGAACCATGTAGATTAGATATTGACACGTTTCTCCATCAAGCAGGTTGACTCATTTTTGCCCTTTGTTTTCATGCTGAAATATTTGGCACCAACAGTGTTTACATTTGGAGGGCTGTGAAAGGAAAGCAAGATCACGATTCACTGCCCTGTGTTGGTCAGGACCACCAGCACGTGAAGAAGATGATAGGACACATGGGGGAATCACAGGGGGAGTTTAACTCCTTGTAGGGACCTAGTTAAGTAACCGCTGGGGGATTAGGAATCCTTCTAGAGAAAAAGATATTCTCTTTAAATAGAAGTTTAAATAACTGCTCTAAAGGGCTGTTGTTAGACGTCACTGAGTCTATTCTAGCGCACAGGGACAGGATGTGCAGCAGAATGAAACTCTGCTGGGCCTGTCCCACCATCACAATCATTGATGCGCTTGAACCTGCTGTTGCAGCCCCCTTTCCGATCCATCGCCATCAGGGCCTCCTCTTATTCACGGATTCTGTTCTCTTCCGAGTCTAATGCCCCTTTCTAGGAATTGTCCTCTCTTGATAAGATGTCCCACTACAGGGGACGACGTCTCGACAATCAGCACTCTAGTTCCACTTTCTCCAGGATACTTTTGTCCATTCTTCTGGAAGCCCAAGGCGTATTCAGTATTCTTTGGATACACGATAATTCAAAGGCATAAGTCTTCCCTATTAACATCCCAGATCTTTGCACGAATATGTTGTTGTTATTAGGTGTCATTGACTCAGTTCCGACCCATAGCAACCTCACACACAGCAGAACAAAACGCTGCCAGTCCTGCACCATCCTCACAATTGTTCCTGTGCTTGAGCCCATTGTTGCATCACAGTGTCAATCCATCTCCTTGAGGGTCTTCCTCTCCCTCGATGCCCATCTACTTAGCCAAACACAGGGATTGATTTCTCCTGACAACGTCTCCACAATGTGTAAGACGAAGTCTTGCCGTGCTTGCCTTTCAAAGGAGCACTCCGGCCATGCTTCTTCCAAGGCGAATTGGCTTGGCCTTTCAGCAGTCCACGGTGCTTTTGATATTCTTCTCCAGCATCGTAATTCAAGTGCAGCGATTCTCCTTTGGTCTTCTTCATTCAATGCCCAACTTTCGCATGCATATGAGGCCATTGAAAATGTGTGCCCACACCAAAGAAAGGTTAGCTGATGTAGCGTGGAGATTATAGAACAATAGAATGAATATCACAAGCAAGTAATGTTTGGCTGAAGATGATTCAAAATGGTGCACCAGGCCATGGGCAGGGAGCTACCTGGTGCTTGATTCAGAAGGTGATGTGGGATGAAGAATGTCATTACTAGTGTCACATGGATCTTGGCTGAAAGCAGAATATGCCAGAAAGCTATCTAATTGTGTTTCATTGAGTATGCAAAGGCATTTGACTGTGTGGGTCACAACACCTATGTTTATGGTAACATTTTGATAATGTTGTGAAGAATGGGAATTCCATAAGATGTCTTTGTGCTCTTTCAGAACTTGCACATAGACCAAGAGACAGCTGCTTGAATAGAACAAGGGGGCATTGCATGGTTTAAACATACGAAAGGTCTGTGTCAGAGTCAGGTCTTTTCACCATACACACTCGGTCTGTATGTTGAGCAAAGACTCCTAGAAACCGGGCTGTACGGAGACGACGGAAGCTTCAGGATTGGAGGAAGACTCACTCACAACCTACAGTACACAGGTGACATAAGCGTGCTTGCTGAAAGTGAGGCGTATTTGAAATCATTGATGGAGATCACAGACTGAGGCTGCAGTGTGCATTCTACCTCAACATATAACTAAAATCCTCATGACGGGATTAATCAACGAAATCATGATAAATGCAGAAACTATTGAAGTTATCATGGTTTCATTTGACTTGGATCCACAACAGCACTTATGGAAGCATCAATAAAGAAATCAAATGGCATATTACATTGGGAAAATCTGTTTCAAATGACCCGCTTAAAATGTTCAGAAGCAAAGAAGAACCTTTGAGGACGAAGGGACACCTGACCTCAGGCATGCTTTATTCAGTCACCTTATATGTTTACAAATGTTGGAAGCATCGAAGGATTTGAGCTGTGGTGTGGGCAAACAATGTTGGATATACCACCGATTGGGAGAAGAACAATGGATTTTGGAAGAAGTACAACCAGGATGTTCCTTAGTAAGGAGGGTGGTAAGACTTTATCACGTGTCCTTCGGACATGTTCTCAAGAGAGAGCCCTCCCTGGAAAAGGACAGCGTGCTCGGCAAAGTGGGAAGATCATCAACAGAGAAGGACCCTCAGAGAGATGGACCGGCACAGCGGCTGCCAAAAATGCGTTGAAATACAGTAATGAATGTGATGTTGGTGCAGAACTGGGTCATGTTTTTGTTTGTTTGTTTCTGTTGTATCTGGTGCTGCTATGAGTTAGAACTTTAAATCCCCAAGAGCAACATGCTATCACATGATTGGGTTCAAAGTGGGGCCCTCACTTGTGCAGATTCTGAGAAGCACAGGGTGATTATGAGTTGGGACCAAACTCACGTAGCTGTCAGAAGGAAGGCGTTTTTTGGGATGGGGATAAAGTCTTCTCTCATTATCATAGTGGTTTATATCTGTGACACCCTTTGAAGGAGTCTGAAAACAACAAAATGTCTGAGCCATTCTGCTCATTTGGAAGTGAGTTTTCAAATGCCCCTTTTTCATATGCATTTAAAAAAATTATGAGTTTATGTAACAAGTATTTAATGAGAACCCAGCACGGGCTGTTGCCTTCTTTTGGAAATCCGAAATAGATCCTGCGCTGATGTTTGTTAGGGAAGATAATAGGTAACTAATCCAATGTTGCCAGCACTCAGGGGAACTTCTGACTGGTGAACTCTGTTCATACATTTGACAGCTCTCTGAAAGGTCAGAGCCAAGCTACCATAGAGGCATCCGAGGGGAAAAAAAAGCCTGGGAGATTTACTACTAAAAAAAGGAGCCATTGAAAACTCTCTGGAGTCAACTATACTCTGAGACACAGGGCTGCTGTTCTAAATCAATTCAAGGGTAATGGGCTGAGCACCTAGAGTTGGAGGAGAAGCACAGGGGGAATGGAGGGCTTTGGAGAACCATGGCTGTGTGTGAAGACTTGTTCCCAATATAAAGAAGTACTGAATGAAATAGTCCCGAATAAGTTGAATGCGCTGCTGTGCTCAGTGGACCAAAGGGGAGTCTCCACATGTCAGAGATGCTATGTGACTCCTGGCCAGGTGACACAGGGAATTGGGACCATCCTGTTCATTCAAGGTGGCCACCGTGAGAAGTGAGCCACTTGGGTGGAACGGTCGCTGGCTGGAGGTTGGCTCCTGAAGCTAGTGATGTGTTCCAGTGCCAGGCTTTCATTTGCATGAGTTTCTTTGTGAGAGAGTGACAAATGATTGGGGAAAATTCATATAGGACAAATGGACCCGCTACAGCAAAAGAAAGCATGTAACCACCACACAAGGAGAACCTAGACCAAGCCTAAAGAAAGAGGGCAAATCAAAAATATTGCTGCAAAATCATAGAAATTTTCTTAAACAAAAGTATCAAATGTGAAGCTGTTGTTTCTCCACATCCCCTCCATCTGGGTCGATTGGTTTTTGAAGGTGCTTTTCATCACTTTTACTCTTCCCCAAATAAGTCCACACTCTTCCTTCTCCTCACACCCAGACAGCAGTCTGGGCATCTTCAAGGAGTTCACATGGTGCTCCTTTTCAATGTTCTCTGAGTTTGGGGTACAACAAGAAGCCCGCAGAGGTGAGACCAGGGTTTTAGGGTGGCAGGGCTAAGGTTTCCCCAGCAAGTTCTCCCAGGACAGCCCATACTACACTTGAAGAATTAACAGGTGCATTGTTGCGATAAGGAAAAAATAAAAAGAAAGGAAATAATTCCTTGACACAATTTTGCTGGCCTTTTAATCACCATGTAGTTTTCAGTGTTAAGAAAATGTCATGCTAAACCTTCATGGTCTTCCTGTATCCTTTAAGAAAAGTGCAGATTCTGCCTTTGGAACCCACCCCACATAGTTAATAAAACCTTCTGAGCTGACCTCTTGGTCTTGAATTCATCTCTGAGCGCTTCCTAACCTTGCTCAAAGTGCTTAATCCACTTACAAACTGTGGTCTGATGTGGGGCAAAGGTTCAGTGATTTGGAAAGATGCCCACTTGAATTATACTTAAATTTTCATGTTGCCCTGAACTTAAAATTATTGTTCTCCATGGCACACACAAAAATGACATTTTTAGCGGCCATCTAGCTCAGAAGCAACAAAGCCCACATGGAACAACATATCAACCTGTGTGATCACG